CCATCTCCCTGCCTCAATAATTATCAAGTTATCCGCTTCCGTTCAAACTACGCCATTCCCACTCCCCTATCTCGGCCAAACAACAAAACAGCAAAAGAGTTTCTCCACCAAAAAACAAAATCAGTGCTGCATATTGAAATGGCCCGTTTTGGTATGCATTATGTAAATTTTGCAGTAAGATTGCGATAGTTCACACTACAGCGAATCTGCCAAATCCATTACTATATCGCTAGTGTCAGGCTCCCCACTCTCCTCTTTACCACCATATCCTTAATGTACACTTTAAATAGACATATCTCCGCAAAAGAACGACCACTAAGCATCCCTCAGTAGTGTCGGTATTTTACTGCGAAATTGCTCATATCACTAAGCTGACGCTACTACTGACCAAGAGGCAGTCAACTTGGAAGACACCGTCCTACGTTAGAAATTAGGCCCAATTCAAACATTGGAGTCTCCTTTAATAGCTACCAGGGTTTGCGTTAATAACACTCACGTCGCCATATTGGGCGACAGATATGAATCAGAGAAGCATTGAAATAGCACGTCGTCAAACGCATTGGCTGTGGCGAAAATCTTTTAACAAGCAGGTATCTACAACGGTGTCTGCTAATTCATTTGCGATGCAGGTGACTCAAATTATCTTGTAGCTAATTTTTAATATTAGGGCCTGGAGACATGAGAGTAGTACAGATCATAGTAAGGGGTGATGGGCTCATGCTCAAGAGACATCTAGATTCACTCTTCAAGTTCTTACTAGTTACAGGTATAAATCGTGCAAGCTTCTAGGATTGTCTATCCAATTCCAGCGACATGCCTGCTGTCGAAATATCGACTGACAGGAAAGAAGCCACTGTCAGTTAGGAAACCCAGAACAATTACTGTGAAGGTCTTGAAAAGAAAGACATTGGCAAATATGGTGGATGATGGCACTTGGAAAAGTGAACAGGTGTATGGTTGTCACGTTGGTTATGAGTGCGAAGTATGCACGCATATGGTATGAGAAGCCGACCTATATACAGTCTATTTTGGGAAATATTAATACACCCTGACAAATGCTCTTTGGCTTGATCAATCAAATCATGGGCTTGTC